CTGTGTGGTTGAAATTCCAGCTCTCCGACTGGCGCTGCGTTCTGGCTGGCGCTGCTTGAGAGAAGATCTTCACCCTGAAACCCACAGCGTCCCTTTTCAGCAGGACGTAGCTGAGAGAATACACCGTCCCCTTTTTCTTATGAATCAGGGTGAAGTCTCTCTCAGGAAGGAGTGATAGGGAATGACAAAGGACGCACTGACAAAGGAGATTAATCAGAACTGGCTTTGACAAGCACTGTGGCAATGGGACAATTAAAACAGACTTTCAAAGGGAAAAAAGGAGAGTTATGAACTGAGGGGGGTGTAGAGAAAATAGTGCAACAATGAATGAATGGAAATCCAAAATCTCTGTAAATGTTCATTAAGATTAATAATATTTAATAAAAGTTAAAACAATAAAACCAAAAAACAAACAGAAAACTTACTAGAGAAAAAATGGATATTTATTTACTCAACAAAATATTTATTGTATATCTGTTCTGTGGCATGTTCTATTTTATACTATAATGTACTACTGACAATAATACTTAAAATAATTTACATGAAAAAGTGAAAAATTTAAGATTTTTCCTCAAACAGCTTTGCTTTCTATTTACTCCTTTTATAGGCTCCAATTTTTCTACTCCATTCTTGTTATATTCCTAAATTTTCAGGTATGTAGATATAAATTACGTATTTATTCATTGAATAAATACTTATTGGGAACCTAATATGGTTCAGGTATTGTGGTATGTTGTTTGGTTAGTTGTCATCGAGTAAAGTATGACTCATAGTGACTCCTAGAAAAAGATCTTAACCTTGTTTCTTCCTACATCTTCCTCATCATGTTCAAGGCAGTTGAACCCATTGAATCACATTCAATCCATCTGGTTGAAGGTTTTTCTTTCTTTTGCTGACCATCTTTCTTTCCAAACATGATGTCCCCTTTCGAGGAATAGTGCTTATTATGCCCAAAGTATGTGAAATGAAGCTTCTTCATCCTTGCCTCTATGAGACACTCTGATCACACTCTCTAAGATGTATGTATCTGGGTCCTTTTTTTTTTTTTCCAATATGTGGAATGATCATTAGTCTCCAAAATCACAACTCAAATGATTTGATTCTTCCGTTATTTTTATTCATTGTCTGGTCTTAGATGCATAGCAAATGATTAGAAAGATCATAGCCTGAATCAACTACACTTTAGATTTCAAAGTGACATCACTAGTCCCTAGTAATTTGGAAAGTAATTTGGAAGCAGACTTGGCTAATGCAGTATGTCTTATGAGTTCCTGACTGCTGATATCAAGGATGTTGATTGTGGATCCCAGTAAGATGAAATAATTGACATTTTAAATATTTTCTTTCTCCATAATGATGTTAACTATCTCAATCTCTTCACCATGCTGCCAAGAGGCCCAGTGGTGAGAATCTTTTTCTTCTTGATGTTGAGCTTCAAGACATATTGAAGGCTGCAGTCTTGACCTTCTGCAGCAAGCGGTTCAGGTCCTCCGCAGTTTAAATAAGGAGGGCTGTGTCACCCGCATAATGCTGATTGTTGATGACTCTTCCACGAGTTCTGATGCTACATTCCTCCGCATATAGCCCAGCATCTCGGATGATCTATTTTGCATACAGATGGAAAAGGTATGGAGACAGAATACATCCCTGGGAGACCCCCATCTTCATTTTGAACCATCCAGTGTCTCCCTGCTCTGTTCTGATGACTGCCTCTTGGTCCAAGTATAAGTTTCACATTAGCATAATCAAATGTTCTGGGATACCCATTCTTCTCAAAGTCAGCCATAGCTTGTTGTGATCCACATAGTCAAAAAGCTTTGCATAGTCAATGAAGCACAGATAGACATTCTTCTGGTATTCTCTGCTTTCTGCCAAGATCCATCTAACATTAGCTATAATATTCCTAGTACCATGACCTCTTCTAAATCCAGACTGCACATCTGGCAGTTATCTGTTGACATATTGTTCTAAAGGTTTT